GATAAATCATCTGTTACAGGTTTGGGCTCTAAGGAAGTTAGGGCATCTATACACATGCTCGGTAGGGGGCAATGTGGCAGGACAGGACATTAAATTACAGCAGCTCTCAGGAGCTGCTTTAATTTAAAACACCAGCAGCATCTTATGTATTCAGCATCCCACATTTAAAAAATGTCAGTGAGGGGGACCTTTAATTAAAGCTCTTTCAATGAGCTTTAGTTAAAGCACCCCCACTGCCATTTTGAGACGTGGGGACACTAAATACATGAGACACTTGAGCACGCTGGGGCACTGCGATCGGAGCACTGCAGCAGACTCAGTTGAGTCGGCTTCAAAGCGTTCTAATCAGAATGCAATGGAGCACATGTAAAAGGGCCCTTACAGTTTAACTGATTTTTTAAAAATTAAATCTTCATAATTTCCCAAGCAGGAAGCAACAGTGACCACCTGAAACCCGAGATTTCATAGATTTCATAGACATTTGGGCTGGAAGGGACCCCGGAGGATCATCAAGTCCAGCCCCCTGCCCAGGGGCAGGAAGCCAGCAGGGATCATAGGATCCCAGCAAGATAAGCATCCAAATGTGTCCTGAATGAAGATCCTGTTCCTGCCTTTGTTTCAAAGTAATTTGCATCATCACAGATCCTCACAAGAGGTGAGAGGCATCATAACAGCTATGAACTGACTGCCCAGAGGAGTTTTCCATCTATCGACTCCCCTGTGAAATCCTATGAAATATAAACTTTCATTTCTACCCAGGAGAACTTCTAAAATATTTTCTCCAATGCCTGATGAAGGGTGTTTGTGCCCAAAAGCTTGCAATTAAAGAAAAACTTTTGCAAAAATCTTGTTGGTCTAATAAAAGATCTCTCTACTATGAGTACTCTTACTTTCTTGACATTTGAAATTGCTTTCCAAAACAGGTTGTAGCTAATGCTCTTTGGCAGTGGACACAAAGTGGAAAACATTTTATTAAAACCTCTCCACTATCACCACCAGTTTGTATTATTAAAATGTAAACAGGATTGGATTTCATAGACAAAAATGTGTGCATTGGGTTTCCAGGTATTTCTTTGATTTAGTGCTGAAAGCCTCAAATTATCCTTTCCCTTCTAATCCTAAAGCTCTTACAAAAATCACTTTTATGAATGAAGACTCATGTAAGGATTGAGTCCATCTTGCAAGAAACCAGTTTTCAGAATTACTTTAATCAGCTTTACCCCTCCCCCTCTTCTTAATTCAGGAACAGTATTTTGACAATAAAAGGCTGCTACTAAGCAGCCGTGATTTCTAGCTGCTATATGAATTAATGGTTCTGATACTACTACAAGCCAAAATTATAGAAAGAATTACACAGGTCTCTGGTATAACAGAGGAGGAACACGTCCTTCATAGCAATTACTGCTGAGCTTGGGATCATACCCAAAAGCACTGTGCAAAGCTTCGGTCCCTGATTTGATTCGGCGAAGATCTGGCCCAATTCGATGGCTGAATCTCTGAATCCAAATTGAATCAGAGGACCTTTTAATCTCTCCAAATCGATTCAGAAAGATTCGGCGATTCAGACATAGACATGTTTTTTCTACATACCTCTAGGTAGCAGGCAGCTTGGGAATGCTGCGATGCTGGGGTACATGAAGTATCCCATAGAAGCACAGGGGGCTCCCCAGTGCGCTCAGCAGCAAACCCAGAAGCGGACCAGTGACAGGTGCTTCCTGGGTCTGGGGGGCCACAGGGGTCCCCCTGTGGTCAATTGCTGAGCCAGGGAGACATGGGGGGCCCCAGCACGCTCCTCAGCAGACTCAGAAGTGGACTGGAAGTACATGTAAGCAATGCTGCTCCAACTTGAACCCTGGATGAAGAAATGCTAACACTGGAGCAGTTTCACTATATTTACTGGGGTCCTTCCCAGCTCCTGCATACCTACTAAAACGTAACAGCTGTTGTGCAGTTCGGAGCAAGAGGCCCCCACCACCCTTTCTAAAGTGGCTCCCAACGTCCATTTGTCCACGTCCTAAATTTAGATTAATACATTATACCAGTATGACTGCATCTTCTACGCTGCACATCACACCACTTCTCCAATGCTGGTGCAACAGAGTCACTTGACCACTTGAAAGCAAAATGAGGGGGAAGTAAAACTGGTAAGAGAGAACACTTGTACTCTGGGTCAAAAATTTTTTAACTAGTTTAATACCAAAACTTCCTCTGGGCAGCACTGGAGAAGGGACAGTGTTTTATGAAAGTGCTTTCGGAAAGTAAGGATTGTGAAAGTACAATAAAAGTTGTGTTAACCAGCACTTTATTAGCTGGAAAACTCTATTAACCGGCATCCGAGTGATGCGGCAAAAGCAAAACCACTTCCGGGGGACTTCCTGTTTCGCCGCCATGAGCTGAATTTTTCTTCGCCACTTTTTCGGCCCAGGGCAAAGCAGCCTGCATGGGGCCTCCCTCCCTGTCCCCCGGCACACTGATGCCGGGGAGTGCACCAGACGGTGCACATTTGATTAACCAGAATATTTGATTAAGCGGCATCCCCCATTCCCAGGGGATGCTGGATAACAGAGCTTCTACTGTACTGCATTTAAGAAAAATGCCAAAAATCAGGATATCCCCCATCTGGGTCTCTCTGCTGGGAAGTTTGTGAAAACAACAAATAACTTGATCCTTAACCTTTTGTTAGCTCTGGTCAAATGACCTATAAATGGAGCAATTTTGAATCCTTGTTGTTAACTCTTACTACAATCAGTCTAGAGGATCAACTGAATTAAAAAAAAAAATGGCTGGTAGGTGTCCGCTGGAACAAAGTTCTCATTCTGATGCCTCTACTGCTCAATGCTCTGACAGTCAGGAAATGGTTTTAAAAATGTTATGAAACAGAGGTGGATGGGTAGTAAACAACAGGCTCCTCACGGGAACATTCCCTTTAGACCAATTAGTGCCTCTATACCCAGGGCTCAATAAGCCTCTTCTACATCAACCACATTTTTTAGGACTGTATAGGCCAATAGTGTTAAACAGGGAAAAGATCTAGGGGCAGGGGAGAAAAAAGGTTTACTAAAGATGACAGGTGAAAATTATGACCAATGACCATTCTAGAAATCTACTTCCCATCTAATGAGCTGATCAAAAAAACATTCTGAAATTATAGGAATGAGGGGTGGTAGAGAAAGTCCCACCTAATCCCCCTAACTGAATTCTACATTTTTTTTTAAAGCAGGTCATCCCTCCAATGTTTTTTGTTTTTTTTTTTTAAATCATATCTTCTCTTTAGCTACTATTCAAGTAACTTTCAGGCTCTACACTTGTTTTAAAAAAATGTTGTTACTCCACTATTCTTGGTCTGAGTGGACCAACTGCCTTTTCATGAAGCACCAAAGTTATCACTGCTATGACCTGTAAACACACTGCCTTGGTGAAACAAACCAGGAAGACCCCAGCTTGAGTTTCAGATCCTCATCGTAGCAGGAGGAAATTCATTTACCTTGTAAATAAATGGCATTTGACATTGAGATGAGCACGCAACCCCATAGTGCTTTCCTTTTCACAAAGTCTCTTTTCAGAGCAGTGCTGTACTTTTGTTTCTGGTTTATGGGTATTGTATTTGCTGAATCTTTTTCATAGGTCAGGGCATCTGCTTTTGAACACCGGTCAGGTCTGGTTTCTCCTATTGGACACAAGTAATTTTCTTTGGAAAAGGGAAAGGATGCTAGAACCACTGCTACTTAGTACTCAGTTTATTGCAAGTTCTAAAGCAGATGCGGAGGTTTTGCAAAGGTTCCAAAAAACACTGGTGCGAAGGTCTGGGAAACCTATTCTGAAGCTTATAAATTGTATGATACCAGGGACTGCATGTTTGTGTCAAACCATATTCTTTTGGACTGTGAGGCTTGTTTGCCACTTTTGCCCCCATATTAAGCTAAGGATACACATAAACGCAGTGTCAGAACAAAATGAGGGTCGTTCAAGGTCCTACTTCCACGAAGGGGTAATAGAGTATGTACCAAGGAAGCTTGGCAGAGACTGTGGCTGGAAGCTACCAAGACCCTTGGGACGCTTCAAATATGCTTGTGTGACATGGTGGGAACCAAATGCAACAGCCTAGCAAGTGTTCAGCTGGTACTCCCGCCTTATCACTCATGGGAGTCGCTCTGATTAGAGAGTTGCCTGGCAGCTTTCTTTCCTAATTCCCAGCCCACTATATTAGAGGAAAGCAGGGAGGCACTGACTGCAGAGATCAGTCTCATCAAATGACAGACATCCCCCACCAGGTGATCTGTCCAGTTACCTGCCCCGCTAAAGTTCAGACCTGAAAAACTGTTGTGCCCTGAGGAACGGTGATCTCTCCCTCTCCTCCCGCCCTCAGGGGTGTTTTATTCGAATGGAAGATCAAAGCTTAATAACCTACTCTTGTAATTCCTGTGCCCACAATCCTTCATATTTCAATCCATTACAGAGGCAGAGAGAAGGAAGTTGTACCTCATATTCAAGGATAGAGCATGAAGTCTGGCAGAGCACTCTGGTATCAAACAGAATTTGTAATTTTGCACACAAATTCCCCAAAATGTCACACAGGCATTAAGGAACATTTATACCCACCCACTGTAGTGTTGTGTTAATGAGTGAGTGCAGGAACTGCGATATGCAAATAGACTATTAATATCAATAAGCTTACCTAGAGCCCAAGCTGAATGAACTGGAGAAGAACAAGTCACAAAAAGCATATCAGGTCTTTGCTGAAACTAATCATTAACAGAGTCTACTGCATTATCAATACCATCACGGAAGGCCAACTTTTTAACAAGAAAACAAGATTTACAACTTGATAGGGTTCCAATTCTGCAGTGGAAGCATAACAAATGAATGTTTTTTTCCATTATTAAGCCGCTTATTCAAATCAAGTGTTCATCGCATTACAAGATTACAACAGTGTAGGGGAAAGTTAAAAAAAAAATTGAGTAATAAAAAAGAAAAGCAATTAGTTAAGAGGCATATTTTACCTTTGTGATTGACAGAAGGTCTGAAGGCCTGGAGGATCTTTGGCACTGCTACTCCCATGTCAAGTTCAGTTAGAGTCAGCTCATTCATGAAGTATGGTAGCTAGAAGTACAGAGTGAAAAATGAGTGTTACAACCATAAAGAAACCAGTTATTCTGTAAGATCAGGAAAGCTATTACACCCAAGGTTTACAGTTAGCTTAATTACAAAAAATAAAAAAGTGGTTATATGCAGAGGTTAAATTCTAGGATTCCACATTCCTCTATTTCAAAGAGACAGTTTAGAGCGTGGTTTACCATATCATCATAGGGCCAAGATATTTTTCGTCGCCCTTGCAATTAAGAGATGTGCTCAGCCAATCAAGCTTCAAGTCTGAATGTGAACTTCCAACCAGTAGCATAGGTCAACAGACTACAAAATGCATGACTGATACAGTGCAGCATGCTGCACAGGCAAAATATATCAAATAGCAGGCCTTGGCCATGAACAAAATATAGATACTGGGCTGGTTGCTATATATAAAAAGGAATAACATTTTGGGGTTTCTTTAATGTCTCACTTTTTGGTGCACACCCTTCATTAAATTGATATCTTAAAAGTTTGTTTTTTACTTTTTAAATCTATGGAAAAACCTTAATCTGGGGTCTGCCCTATATCATACATCACACTCCAAATAAACTACACGTACACGAACAAACAAATAGGGATTTAGAGTAAAAAGTAGTTGGGTGATGATATATTGATTTTATAGTGATAATGTTCTTTGCAAAGACACTGAATTGCAAATATGAGCAATATGTATGGTGCAGAATCCTCAGTTTTTCATACTGGGGCATATTCCTTAGTTTAACTGCATCTTCAGTGCTGAAGGCTCATGAGTTATGTTGCAACTTCTACAGCCCTATGCTACACGTTGGCCACTGTGCACGCATCTTGTATCCTTCCCTGCTTTTCCTCCCCAAAACTCAGACATAATAAAAAGAGCCAAGTAGCCGTTTTAATGGGAGAGAAAAGCAGTTTCAAGGAAAATTCTGTAAGTGATAAAGTACATTTGCAATTAAAATCAAGTTAATCTGATAGGTCTCTTGTAGCATTTGGCATATCAGCATAACGCTGCCTTTTGCTCAAGACATAGCAATCCGCTTGCACCACAGAATAGATTGATACCAAGACTGAAGGCCAAAGGAACTTCTGCTGTGTTTGGATGGGTGCTATCACCGATAGCATTACAGAGTTCAAAGCTGGCAGAAACATTATTTTCTGCAATAACATCCCTGCTGAGATTCCTAGAGGAAATAAGGAGAAAATGAAGGTGGGGGGAATGAAACCCCCCCCCTGCAATTTGGCCAACCAAATTAAGGGAAGCAGTCCTAACATTACAATGCTCAGCAGGGTTGAGACTTCTCAGCTGGTGGTGCAGTAAATCAGGCTACAATAAAAGGTCACATAAAGTACAAGAACTGCAAGAACGAGGGTTAAGAATGCTGTTCTGACCTGCTGGGATGTACCATGAGTATGTATTTGGGGTTTGAATGACTTCAGCAACACCCTAGGACCACTAGCCAACGTTCTCTTATTCCCCAATGGTAGAGGCCTTTACTTTTTGGAAGCCACATGACACCACCAGTGCTTCGGGGGCAACCAATCTGTACATCACTGCATACATGACTTCAAAACCAGAAAGTGATTACTCAATAAGACTAAAACATTTGAAGCGTAAAGGACATTTAGGGGTAGTTTAGAGCCACAAGCCCAGAAGCAACTCAGACAGATACTGTGTCATACCCCAAACTCTGAACCTCCAATTTCCTCAAAGAAAATACATTTTTGAGGCTTTAAGGGAAAACCACTTGGCACCAGAGATGACAAGAGTATGCACAGAAGAGTTATCCAGTGGCTCCTTTAATAGAGGAGTGGCCCCATGAAAGAAAGGTAAGTGATAATGATTTCAAAACCACACTGAAAATTCTTCTTGAGTAATCTAATAGAACAGCCTAGTTTATTTAAAATAGTCCTAAGCAAAATTGTTGGCATAGACAAAAAAAATAAGAGTTTTTTAAGATAAAAAGTAGTAGAGTTAGGAAGAGGTGTTTTCTGCAAGCATCTTCCAAAAAGAATCAAAAGAAAGGAAACTACCTGCACAGGTTAGGTTATCAAGCCCAAAGTATCAAGTAGCATGTATTTATTCACTGCTCACAAATAGTGCTGGTCTAGTCAAATCTTGGATTGGCGATTGGAACTCATCAGAACAACAAAATCCCTGCTCTTCAACTAAGGGAGCTGCCACAGAGCTCAGAACTGAAAAAGATGCCAGGGGACAAAATGCACCCAGGGACAGAGGCAGATCATAGGATAGTAAGTCCTGAGCAGGACACCAAGCAGACGACTCCAAGCAAAGCCAGCTGCTCTGAGAAGCTGTCAGTGAATTCTGCCTGGATGCATGAAGAGATGAATGGCTGGGAAAAAAGGATTCCATGATTAAAGAGACTGGCTCCAAATCCCAACCCATAAGCTTCCCCGCCCTTGCCTCCAACCTGACTTCTGGAAGGGCCATGTGTCAATCCAAAGTCAGTTCTCTATCTCTAGTCCTCCCCAGGAAGGCTGCCATCCAAAGGCATGTTTTAGTGGTTAGTTTTTAGACACCTCTTCATTGGGGACTGCACTGACACCATTAATAAAGACACCAACCCACATGAGATGAGAGTAACTAAGGGCTCATCTATACTGTCTCCATACCAAGCTCCAGACTGCTGCTGAGAAGCCCAATCCTCCCTTTCAGCACATACCAAAACTCAGAAGTAATAAACACATGGCCAACTAAGAGTAACCCTGAGTACACTCCCCAATGACACTCTCCGTCTCCCCAGCACAGAAGTTTTTGGCACGTGCACAGGATACCACATTTTGGGGGTCTGGCATGAAATCAAGGAGAGCAAGGGGGCAGGGCATGCTTCTCAGCAGCTCTCCTGGACACAGACATATCCCCAGTTCAACAAATGAGTTGAATTTGTACCAACTGCCCACAGGCAAAAACAGCTCAGAGCAGAATTCAGCAAAGTGCCACCTTATCTATTTAGAGAGACTATCAGCATTTTGTCCCTATCATTCCAACTTTTCCCCCCCAATTTTTTTCAACAGACTGTTCAAATGCCCTGTACCAGTGACTGCAAACAGCCCTGGTGGGAGTCAAGCTATTGCTTAGCTCCAGTAGCACGAGCTGCATCATCTCTCTGCTGCTTTCAGCAGCTAAACTCCAGTGCTGTGACAGCAGGACTACTCCCTCTTTTACATTCAGGAATAGGCTGATGAATGCCTCCCCCGACAAGGAGAAGAACAAACCTGTTATTAGTTGCTGTTATTTGGAAGTTAGAGAATGCAAGAGGCAGATTATGAGAGTCAGTCAAAAGCTTACCTCCTTATGAACTTGTGTATTAGATAACACAATTATACCCCTTCACCCTATAGACAGCTGTTGCCTTGACCACCACTCCTACATAATAGCTTTCTGAATTCAAAGAGCACTCATGAAGCAGCATTACAACTATCTGGTCCCCGCCCCTCACTTACCAGCAACATGCCATTTCTGAAAGCAGGTTTCATTTTGTTTCCTGCTTATAATGCTAGTGACAGAACAAACATCATGCTGAACAACATGCTTACCCACTGTATGCTGATCAGTTTATAACAGCCCAAGTTTTGCCCATCAGGAAGGCTTAATACACTGTGCACAATTATGCTTAAACACACAGAAAACACTTTTCACCTCTATCAGAGACAGTTTACAAAAATTCACTAGTTCAGCCTCAGCACCCCTCTGAAGGTGTCAATAATTACAATCCTCCTTTTAAAACTGAGGCAGTGAGGCTAGACGACTTGACCCAGGTCTCACTGGATGCACACCTTGCTGGGGTCATCTGATCTCAGCAGTCTTTCCTGCCCAGAGCAGGGGGGCTGGACCCAATGATCTCACAAGGTCCCTTCCAGCCCTAAACTCCAGTGAATCTGTGAAATCTGTGGCAGAGCTAGATCAAACTCTGCATCATGTCTCTGCCTACTCTTTTGTGCATCAACAGAGTATGGGGACCTTGAATTGGCTTCAGTCATCTCACTGATAACTTTCCTATTTACTGGAAGACTGGCAATCCCGCAATACAAGGATGACAATGCCAACAAACAGGACGCAGGAGGCTAACTCAAAAAGTTAATGTATTTTCCAAAATGCCCGGTAAATAAAATCTTTAGCAAATCTTATTTCCAGTCTTGAAAACATTTTTGAAACTAGGAACAGAGTGTGCAAATTCCCAGGAGATATACCTTTATTTTGCTGAGTTTCATTTGGATCTTCTTGGACACCAGATCAGACCAATACTTTTCACCTAAGAAATCCCAAAATATTCTTCCAAGCAATGCATTTACCCATGCCTCCTGTTCCTCTTCTTCAGCTACAGGGTGAATGTCTGGCAACTGACAATACAAAAAAAACAGGTCATTCAGCCATGAAAATGAATCTGATCCTCAGTTCAGACAGACTATTTACTGCTTAGTATTTCAGTATAGGTTAACTATCAAAGTTAAACCCTCAGGGTAAAGACGAACTGTCATCTTTAAAGTCTTGTCAGGGGTCATGCTCAATTCTAGGCTCTGTGTTTGCTAACACAAGGACATTTCCTCGTGCAGACAAAACCATAGACAGATTTTAAGGTCTTTCCTAGCAATGGAGGAAGGTTTTCATGATACCAATGGTTCATATAGGTATAATTTTAAATTTTCCTGGCAACAATGTTCACCTGGTATGAAATTACTAAACTTTTTTTAGCACTTAGTGGGCACATCTACACGTGATGCTATGTTGCTGTAGTGACATGCTATGACAACATAGGTCATCACTATGGCGACACAGCATCGGCAGGCACAAACCATGATGCCAACGCTACATCACTGTAGTGACAAGTTACCTCGTTATAGCATACTGGTATAGCAATGTAGCTGCTAAAAATAACTGTGCGCCACCAGGACAGCACAATAATTGCTGTTACTTCCTAAAGCAAGTACTAAATGAAGGCGCAGTAACAACTGTGCCATGGGAGGTACATGTAGGTGTGCCCACTAGGTGATAGACTTTTAACCAAAGCTTAGGCTCTTTCCTGTGCGCACACTTGCTTTAGTAGAATCTGGGGAAAAACAAAGAACAAACAAAAATAAGTTAACTAAACATTTTGTTTTGCTCAGGGAAAAAATAAAATAAAAAATAAATAAATAAAAAAAAGGGCAGAGCAATAGAGAAGATGCGAGACACTAGAAAGAAAATCCTGTGTGTTCTTCCCCCAGTCCTAAAATCCAGTTATGGAATGACTTTTTAGGAAGGACCTATACATTTTGCCTGTGAGAGACTGGAGACATGGAAAGGTTTCTGAAATAGTTGGTATTTACATATTTATTCAATTTCTTTTCACTTGTTGAATTTGTTTGAATCCGTGCAAGAATTCAGATCCAGGGAGTCAGAACTCTTGAAAACAGGAAGAATGTATTTGATTTTTCCTTGAACTCTTCCCTCTCGGTTAACTTCCAATGTTAAAAACTGGTCCAGTCCTTTCACTTTATCCCTGGACTCCATGTTCTTGATTCATCACTGGAAATTACAGCTCAGATTACTCAGCAGTTGACTCCTAGATACTTTTGTTGTGAAAGGTCAGATGTCAGAGGCCTGCTAGTCATAAAAGACACAGTACTTTAAGTGCTCTGAACGGGGGAGAGGATCCATTCAGTAAAGGGGTCCCAGAAGAGAACATTTAATTCACAGGAGTGTGAAGGAACAGCATTTTAGGAAAGTACTTTGGGCATTACACACATTTTGGCCATGAATGAGGACATGGGTGTGCATATTCTCTCCTCCCTCCAAATCTACTCACAAGAAGTTCAAAGAAACATGCTGCCAGCCCTTCACCCAAGTGTTCTTAAAACAAATGCTTCTTGCACTAGATCTGGCCTACCACTTGGAATGTAGTGCCATCTCTTCAGGGTAAGGACCTTCTGTACAGTACCTGCAGCAACTGCAGGTTGCCCGTGATGGGGCTTCCAGGTTACTATGAAAACTGGGCTCAGTGTGCTGCATAGGGGCTGGTGAACAGCCCCCTGTGCTGAAGCACCCTCGTGTCCCAGTCAGCTGGGGCAGAGTCCACACATGTGCTGCTGTGCGTGAAAAAACTCCGCAGCAGGGAAGTACATATATTTATAAGTATTATCCTGATGCAGAGTTTACTAGCTGTGTACTAGCATCTACTAGCACCCTAATAAGTGCACTTATGTAGATGCCGAGACACTTACCGCACAGTGAATTAGTCAACTGCACGGTAAACATCTCATGTAGGATACACCCGATTTGTTGTTCTTCCAAATGCATGTGCTCTATTACTGGATTTATTAAATGATTACCTTAAAGAAAGGCATCTTATAAAAACTTATGCATGGACAATTTTCACACCCAAATTCCAGGAAAATGCTAACAATCTACCTGGAGAAATTTTTCAAAACCTTTTGACAGAATGATATGGCCATTTTATACATTACCTATTATTTCTAGTTTAAAACAAATCTCTGGTGATATCATGTCTTAGTACAAAACATATAAACATTAATTGCATATTTAAACTTTCAGAAGGTCAAAACCATCTACCATATTTTTCCACTCATTTTTTAGAAAAAGCTATCCCAAGATGGTTGCAAGATGCTTATTAATACAAAGAGATGAGTTCTGTTCAGTTTTTAAAAGGCAATATCCAGCTCCAATGCAATTAACAGATCTAGCAGCAAATATGATGAAAGTTCTTACTCTGAAATATTGAGAGACTGTGTTCTAAACAGCTGTAAGAAAGTTTCTTTGTATTAAAAGTCTAGATTTTTTTGATTTTTTTTACAAAACGACCCAGTTTCCACAGCACATAAGAGCTAACAGAACTTTAGCAATCCCAGAGCCTGAAGGACTGGAAGCTGCAAGAGACACCCTTATAAGAAAACAAATATGATGATTTGGGTTACTGAGGAACAGTCATGGATCACCCACAATGCCAAAGTCAGTTTTCAGAACAGAATAAAGTTAAGCTTCAAAGCTGACATGCTTATATTGTATGTAGGGATATGCATTACAAACCCACAAAAACAAACAATAGTCTGAAAATGGAAGTGAACCTTAAAAACATCTCAGCGAAAAAGTGTTACCTTCTTCACAGCAGTAGGGCTGCTGTCTGCACTGGGGACTGGACTAACGGAAGGACTTCTGCTTTCCTGTGGAACACACTTTGCCATGTACATACTATAGTCCAAAAGCATTTTTTGTCGCACGCTGCCTCCCAGGTCCTTTTGCTTAGGCAGAGACACAATTTCTTCTGCACTTCCTTTGCTACTGCTGCGGCTGTGCGTGAGCATCCCAGACTGACTATTGCTTCTACTGTGCGCTGGCAAGAACCCTAAACCAAAAGGAGCAACAGTCATTACAAAGCATCCACAACAGAATGCCTGATAGTTGGTAAGCTGTAAAGTAGCAAGCAAGAGTCACAGCAATCATTTTTGTGACACTTGGTTATTTAACAAGAAGGATAAATAACTGTACAGGTATAATTCGTTTCATAAAAGGTGAAGTTCAAAGGAGCACCTTTCCCCATTCCCTTATATTTGTATTTCTGTTTAGATTGCTTTAAACTCAAAATGCATTAAGCATTTAGAATGTTCATCAGCACCACATGTAACCAAATTTATGGTAATCTGTAAGAAAAACCTTGGTATTTTAAAATAGGAGGGAGG